CTGAAAATTTACCAGAAATTATGAAAATGTGCAATTACTGCTTTTCCATTCCCACACCCTGTTGATTTAGGAATTATTTGACTTCTTTCATCGTTTCCCCCATTTTTCTTGCTAATTCATTTATATATATTCATTTGAGACGTCAAAAGGCTTGAAGAAATGCTGGTAGGTATAAAAGGAATTCAATCTTTTTTAATCTAACCTAGTGTTGAACTTATTAAATTATTCATCATAATTATTCTAATGTATTCAGGTCCCAGGTGAAGGGTTTCAAGGGAGACATGACAGGATTGGAGGGAAGGCTGGAGAAAAGGCTGGTAGGTTCTTGTTGAAAATTATCAATGCGAGTTATCTTTAATTTGAATAAGTTATGTTTTTTGATGATTCTATTTATTAATTCAGGAAGGCATAGCCCACAAGTTAGCTGTGTATGCTGCCTTTGCTGGGGCTGTTCTAACTTTGCTGCTGAAATATATCCTTGAAAATGTGTAAGGCTTTTATTTAATGTAATCATGTGTTTGTTTTTCACTTAAGAACAGCGTTCACCCATACCAAACCAAGTCTGCGAAATGACGGCGATAATAGAAAAACGATGTAGTAAAGGGGTTGGAGATGAAGATGGTACGTTCTTATAAAAAGACGAAGTGGAAGGACTGTAAGGAAAGATCTTTGAAAGGAGACGTCAAAAGGCTTGTAGGAATGCTGGTAGGTATAAAAGGAATTTAATCTTTTTTAATCCAATGTATTTAGGAAGGAATCAGCCACAAAGTGGCTGTATATGCCGAGTTAGCCGGTATGGTCCTCAGTATAGCCCTAAAAATCGTCTATGACTTAACGTAAGAGATTAATCAGTATCATAGTTTTATTTCTTTGTTCTTAGGAAGGCGAGGGGGCCAAACGATAAGAGGACTGAATAGCTTGGTTACAAGCTGTTGAATGTTTCATCGAACTGTTTTTTGAAAGGTTTTTCTGTCGCTCTTAACGTTTCTTTCTGGTTTCTCTAGCTCTGTACACTAGGCTATTCTTGTAATGTTCACATTTTATGATTAGTTGAAAACCAGCAAGAGTTGTTCATTTTCAATCATTCAGGCTTCCCATGAAATCATCATCGCTTAAAATCTGCGTATCGCTTCACCTTTGCTCCATGATATGTTTTCTAAAATGAACTCCCTTCGCGATTGGGTATTCATCCTTCAAACAGCAGGATTGTCTGCAATTACAACTGTCTTTGAACAAACCGTAAATGAACTTAGTTCTAAGCTGTTAAATGTTTTATCGAATTGTTTGATCTCTATGCATGTTTTGAAGATTTTATTCAACTAGTTTCTGAACAATAGTGCATCGAAACAAATCTCGGAATTCGTGTAACACAGAGAAAGAACATGGGACAACTTGACAAAATACAGGAGCAACGTTGGAGGCAAGGGTAATTAAGTTTGAAGACATAAAAGAACTCGTACAAAATGAGTGTGAGTAACATACAAATTCCCGTTGTTTAGAAAGACCCAGAGAGAGGTGGCCTACCCAGTTTTCGAAGTATATGGAGAGATATGGAGGACTTACTATCTTTCTTAGTACGTGAAATCACACCAGTTTCATATTGAACATTATTGACCAGCGCGGAACAAGAAAATTCGCGGTTATGAGGTGGACCTTGTGCGGAGAAGTAAAACTGAGGCAAAGGCCACTTGTTTTTAGTACAAAGTTCCATTAATTGTGATACAGGATGTTTACCTGGAATTCATGAATATTCCAGAACATCTACTATGAACCAACTTGTCTCGCATAAATTTGTCATTTTCTGAAACAGAAGTGATTTTCGCTCCTCTTCAGTTTGCAAGCCTGTGAAATATACCAATGAATTCATATTCGGAACTTTTATAAATACCTTTCCTATCATGCTTAACATCAGGCATAACCGGCTCCAGTAAACCTTCGCATTTGGGACCCAAACCTTTCCCAGGTCTCCAACCCATTTTATACATCAATTTAAGACCAAGAACACTAACAGTAGGGGAAACAGTACCCGCCACATCCTTAAAACGGAATAAGAATACCAACCATTGGAAAAAAAACCTTCTCTGCCAAAGTGTACACAGAACCATCGGATGGTGGCAGCTTGGCAGCACACACTTCGTTCAAACCTGTAGAACCAGTATATTTGCCAGTTACATTAGCCCAGGATGTCATCTAGACATAGCCAAAAGATATTTCAAATACCACAGGCACACACCTGGTCGCCGCCATGGTAAAAAAAATTGGATACGGCATATTTTTTCGAATTCATATTAAAAGCTGCGCGGGGGGTTACTAGGCCTTGAGGTACTACCTGAGCAAACTGATTAGTTGACGATTTGTCCCGAGAACGTTCATTTCCAGAAGATTCAGACAGAACAGGCATAGGAGGAGGTGGAGGGCATAAGTTCTGAAGAATTTGAGACAATAAAATTTATAATTAATATTGAAATACTGGAGGTGTAGGAGGAGGAGGTAGAAAAGATGGGGGCATTGGTGGCGGTGGAAGAATCGAGTAAGACGAGCTCTGTAATATACCGGTCTTCTATAATTTCTGAATAAAAGATATCATACTTTTTTCTCAGAAACATTATATCGTTTTTGGTCGTGCGGTGCCGAGGATGTCTTTGGCTCAACTTTCGTCCATTCCTAAAAAAGTTGAACACAACAAGAGACATTCGTGCTTACCAAATGACTAGCAGGTTGTGAAGATAATAACTTCAAACTATTTGTTTCACTGCTCTGCATCGCAAAATTGTTTCCGTTCTGAATTGATTACAATAAACGTCATAGGGCGATCGAGCACGAACCGAAATTTTAATTTTTATAGGTTCGGCTTGCTTAAGGCGAGCCGGAAACGTTTCCAACTCAAAATCATTTTCCACATTACCGCCACTCCCGCCTTTATCTTCTTTTTCTTGACTTCTTTGAAGTTTCTCGCAATAAGCTAAAACAGACGTTTTTCAAAAGGCAATGTCGGCGCAAAACTTACAGACGAAATCATCAATGCTTTTCGGATTTCCACTCCGCGGATCTAGCATGTCCATCTGAAACGAGATAACATTGTATTGATTACAAGCAAAACATTATGAACCGCTTTTATTCTCTGAGCTTTACTTTGAGCGATTTCCAGTAGCTTCGCTTTATCTATCCTGTCATTGGTCCGCACATTAGATCTTGAACGACTTCTAGAGCGAGAATATCGCTTTCGACTTGTCCTTCGTTCATAACTACGGGATCTTTGACGTCGACGATCTCGGGATCTACTTCGACTACGCGATCTTCTATAATTTTTAAGCTTCGAGAAAATACTCATTCTATTTTCATACCTTGATTTTAAAGCTCCTTTATCTCTATTGTACGACCTGTCCCTCTTAGATCTAAAGAAACATTAGAAGAATATTTTCTTCGAAAGTTACCTATATCGACTTCTCTCATCATCTGAACTATCGTCCCTTTTATTCCTTAACCGACTCTCTTCTGAATCATTTTGTTAATAACGGTTCAGATCGTAAAGCGTACCTTTCTTCGTTATTCGAGCTACTGTCTTTTCAATGATTTTCGATGCCCTAGTACCTGTATTATCATCCTTAAAATAATTTGAAAGTTAATTGGACAGCGTATAAAACACAGACGTCATCCAACGTAGCGTTAGAATCATCGGCAGTAATTCTAAAATCAAAAATTTTACATCCGGATATATATCCAGGATATTCGTACCTGTCATCCTTGGCTGACAATTCTGAACTTTTTTGAGCTTCTTAAACAGTAATGATACGTATATTAGACTCTGTTTCATACCTTGAGTCAGAGAAGATTTAATATTAATTACAAGTTTCGTTTCTTTCACAGCTTTCAACGTGACTGTGAAGTCGTCATCCTCATCTTCAGCACTAACAGATTCTTCTAGCTTAAAGAACAACTGATAGAGTTCACTCGTAGATGGTTCAATTACCTTCGTTCTCTTGAGCTTCTGGGGCGATTTTAACTTGTGTTTTTCACGGATATCCTCTCTGGAAAGAGCAGGAGAAAGTGAAAAACATAGAAGAAACTTACTTGTCTCTGTTCTTTTCTGACTTTTTCGATTTTCGTTTTCTTTCCTTATCCTTCTCTTTACTTCGTTCTCTACTACGTTCCCTACTCCTATCTCTGCTCTCATGCTTCCTTTTCTTCTTCTTTTTTTTCTTCTTTTTATCTTTTTTTTCCTTTTTTTCTTTGCGCGATCTATCAGAACTTCTTGCGTAAGCTAGATCTGCTACATCGAAAGGCTAGAACAAGAATGTTTATTTAATAAGAAAAACATGAAAAGCTAACCGTATCAGAGTTTTCTACATCCCGAATAAGTTCGGCTACAATGTCAGCTGAATTAGTCGAAGCTTTTTCTTCCAAGTTTTGATTTCCCTTCTCTCCATCAGCACTAGATTTGTTTGCTTCCAAATTACGCTTTGTATTCATATTACAGCACTACGCATAATTCAAAAAAACAACAAAAAACTTCAAATTTCAAGTTACGTTTTTATCAGCTTAATCGAGCACTCGCCTCGACACTACGGATTTTGGTCCCGACACGATTATTCGTCGAACTGCTGTCTGGTGTACTCTTCACTCTATCGCTCTCTCTTTTCAGCTGAAGAATTTTTGGATCGATGCCAGCAAAAATAGCGAGAAATTTGTGTTGAATGATTCATTGCTTCCGTTTTTATGTTGTTTTTTTTTCAAAAGTTTCGGGTTAAAATTATGAATTAATAAGATGCATTGACTTAAGCTTTTTGACAACAAGACCTTTAATTAGTGAAACAGTAGTAAGAACGCCGTATATCGTAGTATCGAATGTTTCGGTAATTTTTATCAAATTCCTTGTATAGTAATAGAAATCATAATGTTTGTACATGAGAGAGAACAATAATGATTGTTATTTTGTTATATTGTCATGCGAAAATACTAATTTGTTGATATTTTCTCTCAGTTTCTTTTTTGAATCTGTCATGCCCTATATTTGATGCTAACACATCTATTTCTCCATTTTACAGGTACATTACTACCAAATATGTTAATAGAAATATGAGCAAGCCGCCTGGCTCTTTTTATGTCCATTCAGGGACACTGACATCCGAACAAACGAAGTCGCTAAATGATTTTATTGCCAGAACTAATGTTTCTAGCTCTTCAGCAAAATCCCTTCTTTCACGTGAGTTGTTTTCTTGTCGTCTCTTTACTTAACCTTCTTCAAATGTTTTATTTTTCCATTTCAGAATGTGGATGGGATCTAACTTCTGCTCTCAAAAAATATGATATTGAAGGAATGCGAGACGAAAATAATGAGATTAAGCCTTCAAGCTCTCAAGGTTTGTAGTTTTCTTTTACTTCAACTTATTATGATCTTTTGTTTATTCAAGTATCTGTATCTGATTGGATGGGGAGACAATTGCCTGGTTATGCTTTCTGCTTACCGGATTTAGACAGACTTGCTCCTGATTTTCGGAATTTCCTGGAGAAAGACCTTATCGAAACGCCGACTCAGAGAAGATTAGAAACATCGAGTATGTTATTACGACGTTTTCAGTATGCATTCACTGTTTCAGAGCATTTGAATTGGTGGTCACAGTTTGGAGAGAAGTTATATCCCCTCTCTACCACAGGAGATGGTAATTGTCTGTTACATGCAGCTTCACTAGGGATGTGGGGTCTTCATGACCGTCAATTGACTCTCCGGGAAGCTTTGTATGAGATGATTATACGAGGAACTCGAAGGAGTGCTTTGTGGAGAAGATGGAAATGGTCTGAACATAAAAGTTACTCGGTTTGTCTCTCCATTGTTTTCTTCTTAATTCCATTTATGTGAAGGATATCGGACTAACTCTGTCGGAGGACGAATGGATGAGTGAATGGAATAATAATATAGTCTCCTTAGCTTCTCCTACTCCCAGGTTAGCTGTTTTTCTTTCTCCATTCTCAATTCTTGTCGATTCCAGAAAAACCGATGACGCCAGTTCTGATTCAACTGACCAAATATATGAGAGTTTAGAGGCGATTCATGTTTTTGCTCTGGCTCACGTACTCAAACGCCCAATAATTGTTGTTTCTGACACGGTTGGAATTGGTTTTTGATGTTTCAATTATTTTCATTTCAGGTGCTGAGGAATGCTAAAGGTGAAGAGCTCTCTCCTGTTCCTTTCGGGGGTGTGTACTTACCTCTAGAATGCCCTCCCATCCAATGTCATAGGTAAGCATTGAAGTTTCAAACTTTATTTATCACGTCATGCTCATAGATCACCGCTAGTTCTTTGTTATGATTCTGCCCATTTTTCTCCACTTGTTCCGATGCAACACGACTCTTCATTACCCCGTAAGTTTGGGAGTTTTCTAATTAACATGAGAAACTCCGCTCAGAAATAATTCCAATCACGGACGTCAATCGAAACTTGCTTCCTCTCCATTTTGCTATTGACCCCGGGCCGGACTTTACTTGGTAAGAAGTTTCGATGATTCATGTTTAAACAAACGTATGTTACAGGTGGAAAGACGATGAGGATGCTAGAATTGCTACTCGTTTAGAAATGTCGGATAGTGACCGTTTAGCCTTGATTAGTGAATATATGGATCTTATACGTTTGGAAGTTAGGCGTGGAAGTGTAAGGAAAACAAGGCCTATTAGAGCAAATTCCGTATCTACAACTGAAAAAAGTTTAACTCTGGCTTCCTCAGGTAACAATTTATGTTTGTTGAACGAACTGTAAACTTATGTCTGCAGGAGTTTCATCAGATAATAGGGAGAAACGGAGGATTTTGAACGAGATCAGACAGCAGTTCATGCGAACATTACGTCTATCTAGTGCAAAAACGAAAGAAAACGGTATAGACGCCAGGGTTCGTGAATTTTTTTTATTATTCTCCTTACTTGTTATGTTTAGCTATGTGCATCTGATCTCTCTCGTGCGAACTGTGTGATAGCAGCTCGGTTATATTCAGCATCTCATGAATATATGGACGAAATGATAAAAGAGTATATGAAAACTGCCAGAGAACGATTTCAGAATTCTAATAATCATGTTGAGGTTTCGTTTCTTCGATTTTCAATTTTTCATTTATTGATTCAGAACGGTAATAATAGAAAGCGAATAAGTAGATCTTTTAGTGCTTCTTCTTTGTTGATTACTTGCATTAATAAACAATGTGACAAAGTAAGTTATCCTCCTCAAGTTACACTCTGATTCTTGTGATTTCAGCCAGCTTCGCAGTCTTCTAATTTCCTTTGTCGAGAATGTTTTGAACATCAAAAGGAGCTCATGACTTCTTTCAGTTGCGAAGGTAACGGTAAAGTCACTGTTGGCACACCTTCGCCAGCTCCTACCTTTAAAAGTAATACTATGCCTGTCTTATCTTCTCCGCCTGTACCAACTCCTATCCCTCTGGCCATTTGCCCGATACCGCAAGCGGGTGAGAAAGTAGCTCCTGTTTTAGGTGTTGTGACGAAGGGACAAACAACAACTACTACGTAAGCCAAGTTTTTATTGTTTTTGTTGACAAATTCATTCAGCATGACTATTATCAAAGGAGAGAATGGAGTCACTCACTACTATGTTCCTGATCCGGAAAGTGTTGATAACCATATGAAATCTGGAGATCATGAGACTCATCCCATTTGTGGGTAATTTTCTGTTTTCTGGTTCTTGTGCTATCCTTCCAACACGGTTCTTTCAATTTACGCGCTTTTTTATCTGTGATTATTTTGCTTTCTATTTGCCAGATTGCTAACAGATTATATCTTATGCATAAATTTTATTTAATTATTCTCTTACAACGTTATAAGTTATCAATTCATAACTTCGCGTTAAGACAACTATCTCTGAACTTATGGCGCTTTGGGCAATTGCTATTAGAGATACTTTCTCATCATATATAAGCTTCTGTTCCTCACAATCATAAAAAATCAACCGAGACCCATCCGAAACCACTACCATACCTGAACTTCCAAACAACCATCTTGCAGAGATTTTTAAGTTATCCACTGGAGAGCCTTAACAACAAAACTGTTACGACGCTGCCTTAAAGTATTCACCATCTGCGGAAATCAGAGTTACATTGGAGAAGTCATCAACAATAGCAAGTAGTTGTGAAGCGTAACATAGAAGTTGGATTCCCCTAGGCTCACTGGGAATACTCTTGATTTGTAACTCAGGGAGCGAGATCAACCACAATCCTCCTGTTTCAGAAGCCACATACAGTTCATTCTTATTTCTAAATTCATCTCGTTAACAAAAAAAAACAAAATACAAACCTATCCATGGCAGCAATCGCTAACGACTTGTTGGAAGCTGACGCTTTCCTGATTTTCCTCGGCAAATTGACAACTGACAAATTCACACTCTAAAAAAAAGAATACTCTATTTCAGATGATATTTATGAACCTGTTCTAATTCCAACTCAGACCCTTTTAGAACCCATATAGCTACTTGACCATCATTGTTGCAAGAAATTAAACGTGAAGCAGAATACCAATTGAGTGAAGTTATAGCGTGGGATTGCTTCTAAAAGTACAGAACATTCATAAACATAACAGTCTACTCAGAAGAGAGTAACACGAGTATACTCACAGAATTAACAGTTATTAGCTTTTCCGTAGAATACATCAAAATCTCTCCTGAAATGTTCCCAACCGCCAAAATGCCTTGCGTAGACCATGCTGAATAGGTTGAACATACAGCTTGAGGAAACGAAGTTATCTGGGGAAAATAACAGTAACTGTGAGAACTCTCTGTACGATCACCTTGTTTCTTTGACTTATGATAACCTTAGCTTGATGACCACACCAGGACGTATGAAATTGCTCCCCCAAGAGCAGTGCAGTTCGTCCGGCAGACCCGCACGAGATATGAATAACTCCGTGTTCTTCGTCTGCTAACTTCAAGCACAAACATGACCAAAAATTTATGTATCCTCACCATTTTCTGGTCGTATGTTCTTAATGTTTCTAAGCGTATACTATCTAGTTTCATGAACGCGTTCAATTCATCGAATACAGATACTGTCCGAATGTTTTCTTGCAGCAGTTTCTCGAGATTTTGAAGCACCTTATAAGATACAGTTAGAACTTGAATCTTCAACTTTTCTTTAAAAACCTTTTCATCTATTGTTATATGATCAACGGGAACAGCTGAGGATAATGGATCTGTTTGAACTTCAACAGATTTTTTCTCCATAGGATCACATGCCACATCTGTACGAGAACTTCCGAAAAACATAAGATTTTCTCACCTGTTCGTTTTATAGGATCTGTTGAAGTTGAAGATGTAGCTAACTCATTGACTTTTTTCCAAGAAGAAGAAATACGCACTGAAGCAAGGGAACAGTCGTCCATCGAAATCTACTCGAAAGCTATCCGTGCCCCCTATCCTTTGGTTGCCATGGTAACCATGATTTCTATGCTTGATTTTGCGTACAACAGGTGAATATAACACATCGTAGAGGTTTTACGTTACGCCGAAGTTACGATTCAGCATAGTTTTTCTTTGTTTGATATAATTTTAAGTTCACAATAAAACTTACGATACCTCGCGTGCACTGGGTTTACAACGTGCATGCTGTTTACAGAATACATGGCTTTGCATTTTTGCTACTCTAAGCTTATTATCATTAAAAGCTATTTAGCCAGAGGAAGTATACAACTTTCTCAAACAATTTAAGCTAGAAAAACTCTATTCATCTAAGCTATTCAGATCAACCGCAAGAAATGACTCTTAAAATGAATGGATGGCCAAATCCTGGCGGTACATGCTTAACAAGTTCCATTCCAACTCAATCGGCCAATCCACTTCAAACTATTCCTTTACATCGTTCTGTGAACATGTAAGTTAATAATTAGATCATATTTTCCGATATTATACGTTTTTTCTTAGCTTTCCTTTGACCAATTATGTTTTTGGAACTAAGGAAGCTCAAGCGGAGAAAGACCATTCAGTTCAAGCTCGGTTCCAGCGCATGAAAGATGAATACGAAAAGGTTAGTTGAAGTGATTAATGCATTGTAGACTGAGATTTTGTTTAAGGTTGGAATGCGTCGATCAGTTGAAGGAGTTTTGATTGTTCATGAGCATTCTCTTCCTCACATACTACTTTTACAAATTGGAACCACTTTCTATAAATTGTACTTGATCTTCTTAAGCCATTTTTTAACCCTTTTTTACAGACCTGGTGGTGAACTTGAAGTAGGTGAAGATGAAATTGAAGGTATGAAACGTCTTTTGGATGAGACATTAGGTAGAACCGATGGAATGAAGAACGATTGGAAAGTTGAGGTTAAAACTGATTTTCTAATATCTTCTCAAACCTATTGTTCAGGATGAAATCGGCAACTGGTGGAGACCTAATTTTGATCCTCCTAGAGTGAGTTTTCAAAAAATAATAAGTCTTTAACGTTATCACTTTAGTACCCTTACATACCTGCTCATATTACGAAACCAAAAGAGCAAACGAAGTTGTTCGTGGTGCAATTGCCAGAAAGAGGTAAGGAAGAGCGTTTTTTGAAAATTCATTGTTGATCAAAATTAAGCTTCTTATGCCGTTCCAAAGAACTTTAAACTTGTTGCTGCACCTTTGTTCGAGCTGTATGATAATGCTGCTGCATATGGTCCATTAATTGCGAGTCTTCCTACAGCGCTAAGCAGGTGCATTTATAAACTAAGGCTTTCTTTCAAAAATATATTTAAGGTTCAACTTCATTTTCAATGGAGTATGAAGACAAGAAAATAAATGTCCTTCCTATTTAATACGATCTCTTGTTATGCGTTGTTAAGTTTAATACTTTATAAAACATTGGCGAACTGTAACAATTATTTAATTAGTAGGAGTTAATACGAGTTGCTTGAATAGACTAGAAAAACCTAATTTTCTCGCTTTTTAAAGATTATCTTTGAATCCGCCGGGCATTTGTCACAATATTCAATAAGCATTATGTCATGAAAAGGATGCGCTGTGGCCTCCCGTAGTGTGAGATGCCAATGATAGCATCTCCTTCTATGACAACCAGCCATATGCTAAAATCCTAGAAAATGCCGCAACGATGAGTCTCTTCAGTTTTACCGTATATGTTGAATCTTGCGAAATTTGATGGACAAGAGGACATATGTTACTCGATTAAGGTCATGTTTAACTTGAGCCTGAGGGAATTCAACTGATCTGATATAACTTGTTATTATTGATCTAAGTTTTTCTTTCCTAGACCTTACTTCATATTATACATAAACACAGATATATATATTCGGTGATAAATTGCTACTTGTGAACGGCTTTTATTTATTATGACGAACAGACGCCTTTCGGTATATGGGCTTTTAAGCTTCTCGTTTCTTAATTCTCATAATGATGGAGAATAATTAATGACTTTATTTGATTCGCCTGTCTCTCTATCATGAGATTCTAATACGGTTTAAGATGAAGAATGATGTCCCTGAAGCAAATGGCTTGGACTGCTGCACATTACGTAAGCATTACGGTGTGAGGTCGCGGCAGCCACCTGTCTCAGCGATTTTTTCCCGACCCACGGCAGTTCTTCTCTTCGGTAAAGCTGCCATTATGAGACAATAATTACATATCATGATTTGTTACCGTTTTAATTCGCTAATAGTTATGTAATGTCTTCAGAAAAGACCCAATGATTTTGATTAAAACTATTACATGCGTTAATAGCTCATGGATGACAAAAACAGATGGTTTGAATACAGTTCACGTACCGGAAAATACAACCGTTACTCGCGCGCCTACATTTGAAAATGATTCGGTTCCCCGTTTGTTGCGGAGAGGACAGTTGTATTGGCGGTTAAAGGTGATTATCCGGTTAATTACTCGAGGATTTCCCGTTGTGAGCATGAGTTGAGCCAGGAAAATGTGCAAATGTGTGCAAGGGTCAGTTCACAGATGACGCTTTTTTCTGGACGTTCATCGTTAATGATTTGTATGTTTAAGTACTGTTTTGTATAAAGTTAAGAAGTGCTAGACGTTTAATTTGGGCAATAAAAGAAGAAGGAGATGAGGGATGTGAATGATCAATTCCAATCAGACAATATCCAAAATTGGCGGAAGTCAATTGCGCAATGTTCGTAAGTGTAAAGGCTATGGAACATTTTAGTGCTATCATAGTAGTTAAGACGATCTCCACACCCACCTGGCCTATTGTACGTTAACACTTCGACGTTCAATGTTGTTTAAGAGCCCTGCCTATAGAATACCATGAGAACAAATGGATACAAGAGATAGGTCCATTCAATTGAATAAAAAAACTCTGATGGGCTCTGGCAATAAACGCTTCGGCTGTCTGTCCCAAGCAGTTTCCTTAGTTCCATTCATTTCTTTTGGAATTCAAATTAGAAACATACTTGAGCTGAGCAGAAGACTTCATGGTCTTTTTCATCTTTTGCTCTTATGGCTGTAACAGCAACAGCGTCCTCTTCAATGGGAATCTTTTCAAAAGAAGACGCGATGTGCTGTGCTCGTGGTAAGTCTCTCTTCAAACATGCGTATGCTTCATAATTCGTACTTTAATTTTCAGATTTCCTTTTGCCGTTAACAGAAGCCATAAAAGCCAGATTGCGCTTAGGCCATCTAGCCGGTGTCACAACTGGAGCTCCGCCTTCCGGTTGACATCCTGATGGTGCAACCAATCATACAGCTTAGCTCCGCCTATACACCAGTTACAGCTTGCTTCCTCTGGCTCTCAACGTGCTTTTAGTCGAAAGTTTAAAGCTTCTATTCTTGAATAACCTTAGTTATGTTCTCATTACCTACTGCTCAGCTGCAACAGCTTCTGGATAACTCGTTATCCTCTCCTTCCCTCATGAACTCATCAGGTAACTGTAGTCTCTTCTCTCATTTGTAAAGTATTTCTCAAGCTCTTGGAGTTCAACTATTACCTCTCCACTATATGTTATTGAATACCCAAATACAAGAATTATTTAAACAAAATATCCTGGAAAAGAATGTTGAATCCTCCGATTCTGAAATTCATAGCGACGAGGTTTTTTTTGTTTTTTTTGAGTTAATCCTTAACTTTACTTGTTTCAGTCTAACAAAGCCTCGTCATGTTCTTTTTCCATCGACAACCTGCTGAAAGTGGAGGAAAACTACGAGAAGCAGGTACGGAAGCTATTAAATGTCTCGAATGCAACAGAGCCAAACACTATTTCTAAATTGGTCTTCTTTTACTCTCAGATTTTCTATATCCGAAATTGAGCTATGCTTCAAGACCATGAGTTATTATGGAATAATTAGTTCTGATTTACAGTCATCCGCCACCCCACCACCTTTTCCGGAAGTTACCGCTTATACTATGGACACCTTAGATGTTACAGATGGTAGAGCTAAGAATGAAAAGAGGTAAGTTGAGAGAGACAGAGGGAGAGAAAGGGAGAAATGATGATTACCTTTCTGGTTCAGAGGTTCAACTCGCTGTGTTTGTGAGCAATGTGGAAAAACCTACGCAACTACCAGTAATCTCAGTCGTCATAAACAGGTAACTTATTTTTTTGTTTTGGCACAAAAGACAAGTTCTCATTTGAAGACACATCGACCGCTGGACAGTCCTCATGCGAAGCAGTGCCCTCATTGTGACAGAGTGTATGTCAGTATGCCAGCTTTAAGGTAATTTTCTTTAACATATTTGTGAGATGTTATCTTCGATCGTTATATTTTACGCATATCCTTATATGACCGTTTGTCAGCAATTAGGTATTATCATGAGACTCTTGTTTTTTGCACAATCTTTATCCGTACGTGTAGAGTGTGAGGAGTGAAGAGAGCGAAAGGATATGAGCTTGAAGAGGTTCATCGAGAAGAGAAACATCTGCAGCGGTCAGTGCAGGTCATGACTACCGTAATTGGATTTGAGCTGTGACGCAATCCGGCTGCTCTGATTCCAACTCGGAGATCACCTGTCGATTCGTTTGTAGAGGAGCTTTGTAAAATGTTATTACAAAGGATTTATCTACGTTTTTCTTGCAGTATGCATATTTTGACTCACAAAGCCAGCCATGAATGCCATGTGTGTGGAAAAGTATTTTCTCGTCTTTGGCTTCTACAGGTAAAAATTAATTTAGATCGTTATTTGATTAAGAGTGAATTGTAGGGTCACTTGAGATCTCATACTGGCCAGAGACCTTTCGGATGTGCGCACTGTGGGAAGAGTTTCGCTGATAGAAGCAATTTGAGGGCTCATATTTTAACTCATACAGGTTAGTTGTAAGAAAAAGATGAGAAAAGAAGTTGAGCGAAGTTATGGAAGAATATGACCTAGTATGAAAGAACAAGCTTATGGCTGTCTGAAGTGATGGATGGCAACATGAGAAAACTAATCCTACTTATGTATTACAAGACCTTATATAATGTTCGTCAGTAGTCAACACAACACACTTATGTTGCCATGAATAACCACCGTCACTCAAAAAGGCTCAATATTTCTGATTATTTCTTGTTCTCCTCCTCCTCACAAAAACATTGTTTTAGGAGAAAAACGCTTCGGCTGCACAGTTTGTGGAAAAAGATTTGCGCTTAGGAGCTATTTGAACCGACATATGGAATCTAGTTGTGGTCTCTCTCCGTCTATGGTTATAAAGGAGGAACCACAGGCTTAACCATCTTCTTAGATACAAATTTATTTATACACATTCGGGTATCATGTGAACTCTTCAGCTTCATAAGCTTCAAAATATCAATCTCATCAGCGATGCGCTAGCTAGTCATATTTATTTTTCAATAAATCTTTCGATTCAATTCTTACAACAGAATGCGATCGCATAATGATTTATATATACGTGCAACAGCACTTATTAAAGAAAAAAAACACTTCGAGTGCCAAAAACAGTCTCAAAAAGAGCTCATTACATATGACGGGTGTTACCGAAATTCATTCCTGAAGCATTAGCTCCTTTGTTGCTTCCCATTTGAAGTCCAATAACTCCATGTCCGGCCTTCAATTGTTCTTCAGTCCAATTTCTCTTCTCTCCTGCTGACTCCTGAAACCGAATCATATGACTGATCAATGTGACGGATTAGGAAGAGTTTGGTTGAATTCCTGTACCTTAGGTCCTAATCCTGGTTTACCAAACAATTTTTCGCTCTTTCTTGCCAAAGCCGAAAGGCAAATGAGTACAGCATTAGGATCTTGACGTTCATACAAATCAACTGTCTGAATGCAACACACAATTTTATGAGTTCGTTTGAGCGATGCATTACTTGGAACAATTCAGTTTTACTGATGTGTCTCTCAGCGAAAGCCAAGAAAAATGAGATGTTTTCCATTTGCTTGAAAGCCATGGCAGAACTGTTGATCTTCTTCACAGAAGAAGCCTCCAAGGCATTTGCCAATCTTAAACCAACCTTTATTTTGATCAAAAATGTTAACTAACCTGCACAACAACTGTCCATTGTGGAAAAGTTCAGTAAGATTCTCAGCACTACCATCGGTATTGATGTCCTCTGCAGTGACATTCTAAACCGGAGTGATTGGTTTCGCGAGTGTTATAGACAAACGACATACCTTAACCCATTCCAAAATACTTTTAGCTAAATCTTTATCGTATTTGCCATGAATTTTTTGTTGAGCTTCTAAAGCAATACCACTTTTCTCAGCTCGTGAAGCAACACAAGCCATTTTCTGAATTAAAACAAAAATAGTAAAATTTGTGTGACAATAGAATACAAATATGAAGAAATGATTTAACTAGGTTAAAGAGAAAATGAATGAAAAACAACTTTTTAAAGAAAAAGAGATCATAGAAGATAAGATTCGAAGTAAGTAATGTAATAAAGATATCAATAGGTGCGAGACTGAAGAATTGGAAATAAAATTTTCCGATTGTATTTGTGATTGCGGGGTGGGGGTAGTGAGTCACTGGAATGTAATTGCAATGGTTTTCATACGCGTGTATGAATCAATGAAAACCTACATTCCTACAATACATTTCTTACTTGAATCAGCTGCGAGTATTATTAGAACGAAAATGCGATAAGAACATCAAAAACTGTAATTACAAATGCCAAAAGTGCCACTCTCTGTGGTCTTTTAATCAACCGCGACAGGACCAAATAGCTGGATGGTAAACGTAGTTGGAAGGCGAGCACACTATAGTTTCAGTTAAAAAAAGAGAAAGAAGCTTTGAATTGTTGAAGGAAAAAAAAATAAGAAGCTGATGATGAAATCATCATTGTAATACCAAAGAAACGCCGATTGAGTAAGAAATACCATTGTTTAGATTTAAAGCAAACATTACAGAGCGCATTGGCTGTTTTCAACATGTAAGAAAACTATAAATTGTCATTTCACAAAATGAATAATATCGGAGAAAAATGTGTAAGTGGAGCATGGAAACATACATACATAGCTAGATGTTCTCAGATAACACTCTTGATCAATTCTGAATGCAACTTCGCATATATATATTCGTTTCCAGTTTCTAAATGTCAAGAAATGCTCCGGAGTTTACCCTGACAGCTTCGATCCGGATCAACCTACACACTCCGTTCAGCGTTTGCTATTTTTTTTTCATATTGGCGCTTGTTTATTTCAAACGTCCGAGAGATGTATGACCGCTAACGCGAACTATCCACCTCTGAAATGAAAATGTTGCGCTGACAGTTCACGCTTCCATTTTGCGCCAAACTCTCTATTTGGCGGTCGTTCATCTCACGCTTCACGTGAGTTCATGTTTGATCGTCTCATGCTGTGCGCGGTTGTGTTTCTGATTCTCAAAGAGAATTTTTTGAGAGGGTCGTACTTGCATTGAAAATGAATCTCGTTGGTAGCCTTTGTTCTTGCAATGGCATACTGACTCTTGACAGTCTATCAAGAGATCTGTGAAGCATAGAAACTTGAAACCAGAGCAAAATTCCTATAAGCATTACTGAACTATTAGCACTCAAAACTCAATGAACATAATGAGCTACTTGAATAGTTATACTTCTCATTGAAATTTCGAAGTAATCCAAGTTTTTGAGTGTTCGACATACTGACCGAGTTTCAGTTATTCATTTTCTGGGAAATTGGTCTTCACATCATTTTGGTATGGATGCCTTGAGTTGAAATCCACTAAACTTTATCAGTTTGGAATTCCAGTCTGGTTCTCATGCAATGAGGTTTATACTGTCTGGCTGGCTTATCATGCACAAGCTGTCTGTGATTATTGAACGATCAACATTCCAAGCTTTCGTAATTTTTCCGTTTGCCATAAATCCAAAACAGAAAGCAAAGAAAGAATGAATGAAAGAACGAACAAACAAAATCAAAATCAACAAAACAATGATCAATATAATATCATATTCCACATTTCAAAGTTCAAAGCTATGGATAACGAGATTGATTTTTGCCAGTCTAGCATGTGATCATAACCATCAACGTTACGAACATAAACGTCGAGTGCATAGTTTCAGTTGGCAGAGATGGTATAGAGATGGTTTATAGACAAAAGTAAACTCCTATACTGTCAAAAAATAAATAAAGGAGTTAGAGGTATGAATCTTGAGCGATTGATCATTTCGGACATAATCTACTCTACTAGCAGGAGCTTTTACATAGACAAAGCTCCGCCCCTTGTCCCCCGCAATTTTGAAATGTTGTTGCTGCTTCGTACTCCAGAATCCAAAAGATTCTTTGTCAATATAGAGCGCCGTTGCTTATATTGAAAACATCGTTGCTCATGAGCAAAATGACATAACGTCATAGTAACATGCACGTGCATGTACATTGGAAGGATGACAATCATAAACAAAAGAAAAAAGGAAATATCACGAGAAAGTAAGAAAAAGCTCTTTAAATGATAAGAAAATGCACTGAAAAAGAAATGCTGAATTTGTGAATTCTTTCTAGTATGTAAGTGAGCGGGAGACGTCCGCTGGTGGGTGGGCCGGCCACGAAGTATTGCACGCAATAGGAGATAAAAAAAAGGAAATGATGACCCATAGCAGTGTATGCAATGCTGTTCGATTTTGGAGCGACGACTCCTTTGAATTTTAAATTTCCTTTCTTTTTTTTTTTGAAAAAAATATTTTTATTTTCTGAATATGAATGAAAGCTCAGCTTCATTTATTCGAACTAGTTAAGGTTTGTGAACGAAAATTAATAATTCATTCTTCTTGTGAAGGACTTGCGTCATGCACCACAACATCAGGTATGATTTCTTCATCGGTATCATCTTGATCTTTCTTCAATCTGAAAGAAAAATGAAGAAAGCTTTATATGAGAGTTGATGCATCTATCTTACCCATCTTCCATTTCCTTAATATCTTGGGAAATAGACTGAGAAGATGAATTGAGTCGAGGTCGGCGCTTAATCAAAGGTGATTGGTACCGTGCCTGAATAATCCCAGATCAGCTTAATTATTTTGAAGAACTAACTTCATCATATTTTCGTAAGATGTGATCACGTCGTAGATGCGTCAGAAGAGGTGAAGGAGAATTTAATCTGCGATCATCAGCTTGTGCAGATAACAGAATATTATCCGTGATGGAAGTAACTTCCTTAGATCTCTTTGACAATCCTCCTCTGTAAAACAATCATAAGAAATTCCAATAGATAGAAATGAGAAAGAAAGCAAAGATTACATTGCATTGTCGGTAGTATCAGGAAGAGAAAGAGACGATCCTCTCGTTGATTCGCGATTCTTAAATGAGATTCAAAAGTATTTGAAATGAATATACTAATGACTACAATTGCAGATGCTGCATTTGATGTTCTGCCTTCACGTAGAATATCCAACACATCTTTCTGTGTTCGCATCATCCATTCAAAGCAGCTTTCCATATCACAGATTCGATTTTTGAGCGAAAAATTTTCTAACAGAAGCTCAGACACACGTTGAGATATTGTCTCGGTTCGAAAAAAAGATTTCATATAAAAGAATGATGAGCTCAAAGCTTACTGCTCAATTGTTTGAGAGAATCTCTCTTCAGTTGTTCCTTTAACTCGGCTTTGCCTTTTCCTTGTCAACTCATCCATACAGTCTTCTTCGAAGTCATGTAGCTCTCTCAACTCTTCAGGTCGTAAATTCAATTCTGCTCAATAACAAATAAGAAGTTTCATCAAGTGGATAAGTCATACTCATAGAGAAATCTAACAGTCCTGAATTCTGCTTTTGCTTCTTCTTCTTCTTGAACAAACGGTCCTACAGAAGGGAAAAGGGAATGTTGCAATGGAACTAAAGATATTACCTCACAGAAATACATAAACAGATAAATGAAGTGAGAAATGATTGTAAAAGGTGGAGGAAGTAATGGAGTGTCGTTGTATTCCATAATCTGTCCGTAACGCTGAAAGTTCATAATTGACATCAAAGTATTGAAGCTGCTTATCCGTTACCTGGAACAGCCAAACTTCCTTTGAGCGAACATTGGTATCATTGAAAATATTACTGAAATGAAGAATTTCATGAGTAACCCATATGCATTGGCTTACTTAAATATAGCGATTAACATATTAATCAATAATATATTTGCTACGAGTAAGAAGATCGTCATGAGTATAGGAGGTATCCATCCTCCAGGCACACAATACATAGCTTAAAAAATGTATTTGAACATTGAAAGAAGCTAGTCAGACACAACCGTCCTTCACAGTAAAACAACTACAAATTAAGGTAACGCGTGAAAAGCACGCCAAGGGACACGTGAAGGGCACATCAAGCACACATAAGTTTCACGTGCGTATGTTATTGAAACCCTAACACATTCTCCACCCCCTCTGTTACAGTATGAAAAACGGAAAGAGTTTCGAAACGTTCGAAAAACTACAAAGAGCTTCAACGTTGATCATGATGTATGAAAAGAACGTTCTAAATGAGTTGGCATGGATTGTCAACAGGGTGGAGGATTGTGAAAGAGTGCCGGGCGCTCAGTTTTAGTTCAGCTCAAACAACGCCTAACACCATATATCATACGAAGCACGACACTACAATCAACAAACCTTTAGAGTTTTCATTTTCTTGATAAGCTCGATCAGCTAAATTCCAAAAAAGGAATAAAAAAAGAGAAAAAGCGGTCAAGAGGAAGAAGAAAGAGATAGAAGATTAAGAAGTGCTCACCTTCATCATTGCACGTATCGATTTCTCCAGCATAGACTTCACCGTAAAGCATGAAATATGGTTTGTAGAATATATTCCTAATATGAGTTGACGATTATATTCAGACAGAGAGGGTGATGGAAATCATTTGATTACCTTACAAGTAGCCAACTCCACTTCTCATGTGGAAAAGTTATTGCCTGTCGAGATACTCCGAAAGCCATTAATGTTACAAGTAGGAGAACTATGATATAACACATTGAGACAACCATTTTGGCAGCCATTTGAATATAAGGTCCTAATAAGGGATGAACGGATAAGTATTCCAATACCTACAAACATCATTCTCTTTTAAGCAATCCTTTTCACAAAGGTCTATCTTACTTTCATATACCAGAGTACATTGGAGCAAGACAGTATGACCCTTCCATGCGAATGTCTCATGTTCGGATCTAACCGCAACAAAAAACCAAGTAAAAATAGAAGCAACGCTAACAATGTCAACCCGTTGTAGTACCTCAACATGAGTTCTTGTCTTACTGTACCAAGTATTCAATAGATCTTACCTACTATAGAACATTCGAAACTTATTCCATAAACGAGGAGTTTCTTGACAGCATAACTATAAAGATACGATAAGATACGAAAAATTGACACCTTTTGTCTTAGTTGCCACCCCTTGTCAACAAGTCGCCCCTTAACGTGAGATACGAGTGCGTGGACCGGTGCAATTCATAAGAAAAATGAAAATGAAAACTGCCCGCGCGCTATAATTAACCTAGGGGTGGCAACTAAGACAGTTGAGCCGTAAAGGAAAATGAATCTGAAAAGTACTTTTCGTAGATGCTCTATAGCGAAGACAATCATGAATATCAGAGTTGCCCATTCAATTTTTGTAGGTTTCAACGGAGTTTCTATCAACAACACATATGTAGACATGGTAAGGAACAAGTGAAACGCCAAACACCATGACCAAAACTGATGAAGAAATTTTTGATAATTATATTACGAGAGATTTCGTACCTTTGTGATCGGTGCTGAATAAAATGCACGAAACTTTGCATAAGCAGTCAGCCGAGGAATATGCTTAAACACATGATTACCTTTTGCATTTTCATAGAAGTAGCTTACATTGGTCGTCAGAGAAGCTGTACTCTCATATATCAAAGCCGTACTGTTCTTCTTGGAATTTGGCATTATGGACTTAAAATCAAGTATAGTTCAAAAGATCTTCTGGATTAGTAACCTTCTTAGGAGGCTGAAGAGACGATCCTGCAGCTATTCCATTCTCCATCAATTCTTCCATTTCCTCTCCCGTTCTTGAGCTTAGATATTGTCTGGGTTGAGGCTTAAACAGCTGTAAAGAAGGACAATAAGCTTGTGAATTAAAATAATTGAACCTTGTTGAGATGTAAGGACATCACACTTCCATTTCCATTAGAAACAGGTTTTGGAACATTGGTAAGATCTCGGTATGAACTCATGGTATCGTAGAACGTTTCCTTAAGATCGAGATTTGTTGAGAAACATCATAAACCTCACTTGATCATCCTTTTTAGAATCATCATCTTTTCTGGCTGTGTTTTCTGATTCAGAATACACTAGAGGAGTTTTGAACGCTAAGATCAATGCTGCCGGTGGACACAACAATGCCGTTAGAACTCTTATATTCGACCCACTTAAACAGTTTTTTCATTTTGTGTTAGCCAACGACTGAATCATCTACCTTCGAACTCTCAACGATCCATGCCAAAGTTCAGCTAGAAGCATTTGACAACATGGATGAGCCAGGAAATGTTTGTTATTGGCTAAAACAGCCAATGAAAGACAGTTATGATGTCCCCAATGAGGAAGCTCTGCCGTAAGTAAACGTAAAGTCTGTTCATTATCTTCTCGATAACAGAAATCCAGCAGACCCAAACATTCCGAACGAAAAACGCTTCAAAAGAAAGTAACGTTAAGAGAGTATTCGATGTGAATCATCTTACTCAGCATATTCCCTCAGCTTATTAGCAACTTCTACTTCAAGATATTCTTCTTCAGCTATTCTACCAATTGCCTTATAAAGTCTGCAACAATTATACAAATCTACAGGGAAAAGCTTAAAACCTAATAGCTACTAATCCCTTAGCCATAGCATCTTCTCCATGCAGCCACATACAATGAGCCATTTCAGGTCGTCGAGTAAGTATTGCCCAAAGCATAAGATCATTGAACGGATAAAGAAAGTCATGTGAAGGATCTATAAAATGAGAATCACAGTAATGAACATACTTATCAATCAGAATCATCTGTGTCTACCTGATCCACGTCTATCAGCTTTTTCTCGTTTTGCTCCTGTTCGTGATACTAACCGAATATGAAATGTACTAAGTCGCGATAGCTGTAAATTCATTTTTCAACATATCATCATATAGTGAGCGGTTGTGCTATTCATGAAATGAGAATTTCAAAAGAAAAAACAAACTTGAGCCTTTTTCCTGAAATGTTCATAATTTCGTTTGAATTGTCGAGATGTATAGTAGTGACGATAGGCATTTCCAATTAATTTTTCTATAATGACACCAATGTCAGGCAGAGTTAAGAATGTAGTTTGATCTTGAGCATTATTGTCAACAAGGAATCGTACACTATGTGCTGGTCCCTCATCCTATAATCATTATATAATATAATATAATATTTATTTATATATATTATACTAAGTTGTAGAGCTGCTCCAATGTGCTGACAGAAAGGAAATTCTTCATTGATACTCCATTTTCCAATAATAATTCAACAAATTCAACCTGCAATACGATATCATTTATGCAATTTTTTTCTTTTTCAGCTTGAGCTTCATACTCGATCCAAACGTAAAGCTTCACTCATTGCTCCATGTAAATGATGTATGGGCCAGTTTTTGCCGCCAGAAAACAAACAACTTCGAGCTACATCAACTCGATTCCATGATAAAGTCAATGCCAACTGAATAGATATTGTAATGCTTAATTAGATAAATAAGCTTGAACACCTGGTCAGGTAAACTGAGATTCTGTCCGCGTAAAACGGCTGTAAGAATTGAATGATCAACATCTTCTTGTTTTTCATCTCCAAAACGATAAATAGTTAGCTGCAATTGTATATCTTCAATGAAATGATATCTTCACAAGTGTTATTACCAAATCCGGCCTTCGAGCACACTCAATGATCGTATCCAGCAATTGCTCGGAAGCCTGACCTAGCTGATCAGGAAAGACCGTAGATATCAATGCTAAGAGTTGCTCTCGAACTTCTACTGGAAATGGTCTGCAAATGATAGGTGTTGACTGTTTATGGTAATGCTTCTCCTTACTCATCTGATTCAATATATCGAGAAGCAAACGACAATAGATCTGAAGCTCGTCCACTTCCATCACATACAATCACCGGAATATCCGGTTTTCTGCAAAGTGTTTATAGGATGTCTGGGAATGACTCAAAGCTCCTACTGAGTAACATATTGATGAACAGCTTTGATCGTTGATGTTCCTCCTTCTAACACGGCGCAGACAACAGGGACCTTCAAGTTCATTACGCTTGCGGTTTTATAAATCATTTTCACAAACTTTTTGATGAGTCTTATCATTTGGCATTTCAACCAGATAGTTCTCAAAATTCTGTCGCAGATGTAAGTCAGCTCCGAATCGTCCAGTCGTTCCATTATCAGCCAGAAGGAAATAGGAATGTCGATCATTGAGAATTCCTAAACCGTTTGAGGAGCCGAACGAATGCGAATCATACTGAATCTCAGTGTCTTTAGCTATCTATAATAGCCAGGAAAAGCAATAAGATATTAAAAAATAATAAGAATCTAACCAAACGTTCTCTCCTCTTAATTACTCCCCAAGGCGCTATTCCTATTGTAACAATCTTTGAACGCATTCTGAACATGTCATGATATCATATGATATCCACATAATGAAGATGAGAACCTGGCCGATATTCCAGCTTCATCCAAAGCTTGAGCAACATGTCTGACAACTCCAGAGTCCAAGCCTCCTGTTAAAACCCATGCTCCCGTTGTTTGAGCAGCTTTGAGAATGCCTTCACGAAATGATCGTCCAAGCTTTTCTTGCACTCTAAGATATGAGAAAAATAGAATGTGGGCGAGTGAGAGAATGCTTTTGCTAACTCAAAGTTCGTCATCCCTCCATGAACAGTTATGACTAAGTTCGGCGGCTGCAAGCCCCACACTTTTTCCATCAAATACATGATGTCCTCCGGCTTTGAGTCATATCCCAAGCGAACATACTGAGCTTTATGTGCATGAGCTCCACCCTGTTATTAATTAATTTTTTGTTGCAAGAGTTAATGAAAGGCAGGGATACTTGAAAGACAATAGTTCCAAAAGCATCCGTAGGAGCTGTATGCGTATGACGAGCTATAGACCATTGTTCTTCATTAGATGATGCAGATGCAATTTGTGGTTTCAAACGTATATTATCATCATTGGTTAAGCTGGCATCTAAGACATCCTGCCGTCCATAGATGGTGAATCGACTTTGAGCTAATTGTGAATGAGCAGATAGTAAGCGTCCACAACCACATCTAAAGACAATTTGATTACCGTTCGGAAGATTGTTTAAACCTATCAGAATTTGATCGTTGACCAACAAACTTAATACATTCTCTCTTCTCAAATGCATGTTCTATCCATGGACCCGTTAATTTCTCAGACTTGAACAAATGGATTAATGTATGGATTAAAAACAACAGAAGAAAAAAAAAGTTGGCAGAAGCTTGAAGAAGTAGAAGAAGCTAATACGCAAATGCAAATGATGTTGAAGCTCTTACCAATGCTCTGGCAAACAAGTTTGGATTATCAAGTAGAATTTTTGTATTCTTGCGCGATACTTCACCAGATTTCATGGATGCTGCCAAGCTATGAATCGTTCCTCCACAAACAGAATTTCGAGGCACATGTAAATTACGGGCAACGAATGAGAGAGTTCTAAAATGTATATTATAAGAGATACGTCTTCACAATCAATACAAGATGAATTCTTTGAACTGAATCTCCAATGAGTTTGAGAAACAAATGTTTGCTCAAGTACAATTCAAATTGCAAAAACATCTTTGTGTGTGTGTGTGTGTGTATGTGTCTATGTGTATGTGATTCGAGCTTTTCCTCATCATCATCATTTTCATTTTCATTAGATATCTTAGAGTTATACCGAAATTCATCATTTTTATAGGTTATCATTAGTCATTGCTTCGCATCCAATCTGATCACCTAGGAAGAAACCAATCATTAACTATAACACATAGTTAACTAACGAAATGAACGAACAATAGATGTCTTTTTCCCCTTTCTAGTTTACCTCTTTCTTTCTCTTTCTCTTTTCTCTCCTTATTTCGTACCCAACTTGCCCCTCTCTCTACGCACTTCAATCCCGGTTTCTGTGTTTTACACTCTTTCTCTCTCTCTCTTTCTCTCTTCTCTCTCTACTTCTCTTATAATATTTCCATTATTCTCATTCTCTCAACCTCTCATGCTTCTCATGCACTTTGTAGATCTCTCAACCTCTTTCAACCTTTAAAAGAAGACAGAAGAAACAGAAAAATTGTAAGGAAAAATGTAAAAATGATGAAAAAAATAAATTTTTTCATCTTCGTCAATAACAAGTACGAAAATGGAAAAGTTTGATAAGAAACTGAAGAATGTTTTGCATTTCAATTCAAATATTTAAGTTAAAGGTTAAAGAATTTCGCTGAAAAACCTTTTAAAAGGGAATTAAGAGACAAAGGATGAAAGGAATGTGTTGGGTTGGATGTGAAAAGCTACAAATTCTTTTGCTTTCGGTTACATCGCCTTTTCATCATATTCAAGAAAAGTAAATCGCAACAAAACGGAAAAAATACTAAAAATTCTTCAAAAAAAGAAGGTCAATTTGCATATTGGCTGTATGTATTGAAGAAACGTTATAAAGGGACTGAAGATAGAGAGAGAGAGAGAGAAAGATAGATAGAGAGAGAAAACAGATATACTGATTGAGATAGACAGAAGAACAGATAGACAGACAGATAGATAGATAGATAGAGAGAGAGAAAGGAAGTAAGAAACAGAAAAGTTTTAAAAGAGAGGAAAAAAAAATAATTTTCAAAAATCACTCAAGCTTTAGTCTGTCCTTCCCCACCTTTCTTCCGTTCTATATCCTTCTATCTCCCTCACTTCTTTTGCTCTCCCTCTCACTTATCGCTTGTTCTCTTTTTACCTCAAACTTTCTCTCTCTCTCTCTATCTCTCTATAGATCTACCTCTTTCTCTATCAAGACATTAAGTTGACTGCTTGTGTGAAGCTGTTGAAGCGTTTGTTATCCAAAAAAACAACAAAAGACTCATTCTTTAGTGAAAAATTAGAAGAAACAAACCTATCAGAGGCTTTTCGTCGTTTTTTTTCAAAAAGAGGACACATTCTATTGATTGATTTCTAAAAAAAAAAATTTTTTTTCTTCTTCTTTTTCTTTTTTTTCTCTTTTTTGATAAATGCACGTGAAAAAGCTGATGAAAGACACAAGAATGACTACTTCTCTTTCTCTCCTATATTTTCGGGGGGTGGATACTAGGAGAGGGGGGGGGGGGTTGGCAAAACAACGATGGAAAACGACGACGAAGAAATTTTAATGAAATTTCTCCATTTTTCTTTTTTAAAAACTATATTAGGCTTTCGGTGCGGTAGAATCAATCAATAGGCATTGAAAGTAATTAATGAAAACAAGAATTACTAAGTGGACGACAGCTTCAAATGTTTTCACAAAAGAGAAAAGCAACGGCAGTTAAAGAATTATGAAAACACAAACACAGAATTCGTTATTCACAACGTCGGCATCGTTTCGTTCCGTCGTCTCGTTCATCCACACACCATCATCAACTCCACAATAGATCTCATATCCTTATTTTCATTTTTTTTTCCTTCCGTCTTTTTCTTTTTTTTCATAAAATGTTTGTTTAGTTCGTCCATTTCCAAGTTTTATTTATGTTTTTTTCTATTCAAATTCATATCAATCTCAGTGTGTCAAACATCTATTTGCATTCACAAAAACGATTTAAGCAAAAATAACAATTTTTGCACAAATGGTATGACCCGGCATCGAACCCACTACCCACCTTGTCCTAACAAGCCACTTACCACTAGACCATGAATCAAGGGCAAAATTTTGTTTTCAATTATTACAAAATTGGCAACTTTCAATCTAACAAATATTATTCAAACCTTTGATTTCGAATAGAAATTTCATCGGAATCAGGAAGAGATCTGCTGCCTAGTGAACTAAAAAGGTGCAAAGAAAGATTAAAAAAAGAAAAAAGTAAGAATGACCTAGGCTGGAGTGTACTTTCATAGCCATCACTAAGACTCATATCACTAAAACTACCATAGGCATCAATACAGGTGCTAGATGTGTCCACAACTTTTCTCATTTCAACTCATAATATCATTTAATGAAGCATTTCAAAGAAAATCTATAAAGATGAGTCATTTTAAAGTTTTACTAGAAATCTTGGATAAGTAACAATAAACCTTGAGTGATACCCATATCTCAAATAAGAAGTTAATGGAAATATAAAAAACTCGTAAAAAAATATAAAAATGTGCTTGTTAACTACTCGTTTTCAACGAAATAAAAATGGAAAATGTATGGAAAGAACTTTAGGGAGACACCTATCCATTCAATCAACTTAAAATATACAAAAATCATTGTAGAAGAGAGAGAGAGAGAGAGAAATGGGGAGAGAGAGAGATAGAGAGAGATAAAGATTGAGAGAGAGAGAGAGGAGAAAATAAAAGACCCGTTGATGGAAATGATGATGAAGTAAATAGCGAAGTTAAGAAAACAATAAAGCTCCCGGGTGTAAAAAGGAAAAGTTTGATTTTTTTCAAAGCACACCATATCATTGGTACATACATATGTGAACATGCCATAATTTCAGTAAAGTTCATCAGGTTGATAAGAGAGAGAGACAGAGAGAGAGAAGGAGAGAAAAAGAGAGGGAAAGGGAATTAACAAACTGCTTCAGCTAGTTCAGTAAGAGTTTCCAAAACTGGTTGAAACTTCGCACGACGGTCTGAGTTTCGGCGTTCCCTTGGTTCATCCAGTTGTCGTTCAGGGTCCTGTTCTGGGCTCTGCAACAAAAATATTATTTTAACAGCTCAATAAGTTAATTTCTTGAAAAATATTTTGTAAGGCTTCATAAAGTACTTTTGAGTTTAAGAAAAATTTTGAAAATTGAAAAGGAACGAGCAAAGAACTAAAATGAATCATCAAGCCGATTCAAATAATTTTTTTTTCATTTGAATTACAATGAGAGGATTATATTGAATTTCCACCTCATATGACCATAAAGGGTGAATTGTTTAAATGAAACTTACAGCTGGTCGTGGTTGGATAGCCAAGTTACAGTAAACATCTGGAAGAAGAGACTCTGGTTGAGCTTCATCACGAACTAATCGCACTGATCCACTGTTCTCTTTAACATTCTGCAATGATATATATAACAATTGTTAAGTTCGAAGTGCGCCTTGCCTGTTCAAAAGCTATCAACTGTCTCCAAAATCCAAGATTTGGTCGAACCATTGGTCTCTTTGATTTCATTAGATGATAAGCATCTCTCAGACTTCGACATCTGTAATGATCAAGAATAAGAAACATTTCTTTTTGTATTCGTATGTATCACCTATATTTAAGAAGATAAGCCAAACATATTGCGGCTGAACGACTAACTCCAGCCACGCAATGTACAAGAACTCTCCCCCCATCAACAATTATTGCTTGAATTTGATCTGATTGTAATTCCAAGTGAGGATAAATGTAGGTTGTTGGTGTATCCTCAAGCCATAATTTTGTTCTTTGAATATCTCCAAGTGATCGTATATTGGGAACCTGCAAATAAATGATTTTTTCATGAAATAGTTAAAAAGTTTCGATCTGTGCGACAGTAGTTGATTGACACAACACTCAGAAAGGAGATGACAGACCGCATCAACTTCTTTCTCAAAATAAAAAAAAAATTGGAAGTTTTGTTTTTTTTTCTTTTGATCAACACAAGAATAAAATGATTCCACGTGACATTTCACGTATTCCACGCAATCGTAAAAAATAAAAAACGAAATGACAAACATCCTCACCTCTGTGGTAGCATTAATGATATGTGTGATTTTATGTTTCTTCATAGTTTCTCCGTTTAAGGCACTAACTCCACAAATAGAGAGTCCCGGCACGATTTCAGTATATTGAGCATATTCAGGATTGACATGGAATGAAATGGTCATGTTGTAAATTGAAAAATCTGAAATGAAAAGTAAAGTAAAGGAAATAAATCGAAAGGTTTCTCAGGTGATTGCGAAAGCCATTTCAAAATGTAAAAAAAAAAGTGTGAAGAAACGAAGGGATTTAAATGAGAATGACATAGTTGAAATACGAATAAATGGAAAAGTGTAAAAGATAATGAAGCTGAATGAAAAGCATGATGTAATGTAGATGAAGCTGTCCTGTTCGATGTCCTCTCCCGCCCCCCATCATCATTCTTTACTGTAAATATTTTGAAAAAAAAATGTGTTGGCAATCGAAAGAGCAAAGGGTTCGAACAGAACAATAACAAAACATTAAAAATATCATGTGTCGGCATCAACTCATTAACATAATTAATTTACTTTTCGTCCACTTCCGGCAGATAAGATAAAGCTTCAACTCACGTGATTCTAACGACCTTGCGTGTTATTTCGAGTCCACAAGTGATTGCTCTTTCTTCACTTTCACCTTTCTTATCAACAACTTCTCTTCTTATCTCAGATAGGAGATAAACATTCGAATTTCAACCACCATTTGCTTAAAAGACGTTTTTGTCTATCCATAAGACAAAGGCAGCTGTTGGTCGAATCACGAGTATGCCATATCCTCCTCACATGATCAAAGAATTCTTCCAAAGAGGTTAAAATACAATACGAATCGATGTCAAAAGTCGTTTCAAACGTTTCTTTAAATAATATAAAAGTTGTCTTGCGAGAAGTTTAGAAAAGAGAAAAAAAAATTTTGAGAAAAAGTTGTACGCAATATGTCGTCTCTTTTATGAACAAAAAAAAATTTCAAAGACAAACGATGACCTTACATGGGCTAGCACATGACAAGCCATTTGATAAGAAAATTGAAAGAAAAGATTTTGTTAATCACTCACATGAGATTGTGAGATTAAAGCTCACATGAGTGACGACCTGACTGAGCTTTCAATTTTATTTTTTTTTTGAAAAGAAACCAACCGCTCTTCACCTTCACTACAACGAAAAATGGGATGTTCGTAAAGTTTACGTGAAAATCACGTCAAAACATTTAGATGGATGAAGAAAAAAAAGTATTTTTTATGTTGAAAATGAACGAAAACAGTCAAGGACAGGTTTTTTTCAAAACAAAACATAAAAATATAAACAAAAAAGAGAAGTAGGAGAGTTTAAAGTGAAATATGGCATTTCAGTGAATATTTGTATTTAAGATGGATCATCAGATAGTTTCATATGATAGTAATTAATGTGAAGACATCAATGGATAGGGAAGTGGAAGCTAATTTTTAAAAGCAGAAATGCTATTTAGTTGCGAGAAGACCAGGGTTCTTCGATTCGTCTGATGACGAGACACCCCGTCCGAAGGCGGAGCTTGGCAGCTGTGTGTCTTGTGTGCACGTGAAAATCATGTGTAGGACGGACGAAAAAAAAAGAAAAAGGATATTGAAAATGAACATTGAGCTTTAAACAATCGATAAGTAATAATTATATAATAAATCATATGATGGGAAGGCTGTTAGAGAGGAGGAGAGGAAGAGGGCAATACAATAGTTGTCACGTGTTGATTGAAAGACGAGAAAGGTACAGCTGATTATATACAGTTTCACCTTTAAAAGAAGAAACTTGATTGCATAACTAGCTTTTCCCTCTCATTCGAAACCCGTTTGAAGAGTAGTTCAAAACTACTGAGCAGTTTTCTCTCTCTCTCTACATATACTTTATCTGACTTAACATTACTATCATGGA